GGCTCACGGGGTCCCGTACTTCGAGAAACCTGTGCGCCAGGGGGAGTGTAGGCAGTCTAGGGGGTGGGGGGTGAGGGCAGCCACTTGATGCCCCCCTTACTGGATGAGCGCCATTAAGCCTTCTAAGAAAAATAAGGAAAGCAGAAATGACCCAATAGTGTGCATTTGTGAGAGTTCCCAGACAACACTACAAAATGCTGAATTGTCTAACCTCATTGTTAAAGGAATCTTCCACAGAAAAACGATACCTTAGGCCCCTAGCCTCATGAGCATAGCAAAAAGAACGGAACATAAGCGTTAGTTTCGATAATACTAATCCTACACACAAGACAAAATGATCACTCTTTCCGTGGAAGATTCCTTTAAGGTATCGTTTTCTGTGGTAATGAGGGCGGAGCTTTTTCCGTGGAAGATTCCTTTAACATTACTCCTACTCTTAAGCTGAACCAAAGTTGTTAGGTTTCGAAAGTTGAACTTCAGGGTGGTGATTTGGAAATTCCACCACACAGTGCAGCATTTTTCGATTTCGAGCTGAGGTTACCATTGGATGAGCCGTTCCATCCGTCACAAATGATAATCGCGACGGAATTCGAAAGCAAGGTTTTCCCTGTCAAGTACGAGGTGAGGTTATAGGTGTGGACCAGTCTTTTAGTTTTCTCTATTCACATATAGTGAAGAATTCTGTTGCTTAAAAAATTTTTGTTCCAGCTTATCTATATACTTGTGGTAGTTTGAAAATAGATAGCTGTCGAAATTCCACGAGTTTAAAACTCCCATGCTGTTTCGTATATGATCAGTTAATCTTTATAGGTTGCTCAAGGCAGTCTAACGTCAATTCCGGATCGCATCTCGTTTGGAAGAACGCATCCAGGAAAAGTAGTGTATATGAATTTGCAGGTATTTGTTGCGATTTACCATTGCTCAAGAGTTATTTGCGTGTTTTGATATTGCTGATATTTTACCTTTAATTTCTTGAGACTTCTTAATTCTTACAGGTGTTCAACTCTTTCGCGGAAGATATGAAGGTGACGCGATTGTCAACCACATCACGCGATCCACGCTTCTTCTTCGAAGGTTTCGATCCTGCTCATCCTCCGGTGCTACGATCTGGACGTCTAACTAACCTCGGCAAGTGATGTAGTCTCTTGAAATTTTTTTAGCGTGTTATCTTTTTCAAAATGAATCTCTTTAGGTCGCGTTATGTTCCTTCCGGAAACACCATGCTCTCATGATTACTGCTATCTAGGCCTGCCTCTTCACACCACCGGTTCGTTTTTGGTTTTACTTGGTTCTGCTATTGAAAACGAAGTACGTAGATTCGTAGTGGGGCACTGAAAATGTTAAGACAAAGTCAGTTCTCCTAAGGGTTGAGAATGCTATTTTGCTAGTTCTGTTTGCATTGTCCGTTTTTGTAGTCTCACATTATAGATGGGCAATGGTTTGTTCATGGGCTGACTTTACCAGCCAACTTGGCAGAAGTGGACAGCTATTTATACAAGAAGCAAAGAGCTCGCTTTGATAATCTTGTCAAGAATGGGAAACACCGTGTGAATACAACGGTGATCATTGACACGGATAGAGCCAAGAATATACAGGTAGCAGTGGTTGAATATTCGGCTTGTGTTACGAATGCCTATCAACTAATTGATGATTGCAGATCGAATCCACTGCCGAAATGATTTGGCCTCGTCTGTTAACGCGGAATTCGGTGCATTTCCCATTAACTGCACTTGGCAATTTTACGGTGTGTAAATGCAGCTACATTTACTTTAGGAATGATTATTTCACAGCAAGACTTTCGTTTCAATTTTTGATTTCAGATAGTGAATCTCACCTTGGCGAATCCGACATCGGTTCCTATAGCAGTACAAGTCATTCCGCTAGTGATTTATCCAGATGCTGACGCTGTAGTAGAGTTTTTTCGCGAGCACCTTATCACACCGCTTACTTCTGAGGTGGAAATGAACGAAACACTAATGTTTTCCTTACGCGATACTGAGCTGTTCACTCTAAAGCCTGATAGCCCCGTACCAAGATTACGGGAGGAACTCGAAGCTGCCATACCACAGACTGTTCCAAGGTGGGGTTTTTTATGGAATTTTTACCTTGTTTTCTAGAGTGCAGAATGTACGAGTCTATATTATGTTCAACTTTTTTAAGGTTCACTTTGTCACTGCTGTTAAAACCACATATGAAGGTTCCGCTTACGACTAGGTTTTCTGCCATCGGACTACACTCTTCGATCATCTCTGTTACTCATTAGGTTTGCGTTAACTCCAGCTTGAGCTAGAACTATTTTGTTCGAATATTCCGTTTTCAATTATCAGTTAGTCTCCTTTATGACGAAAAAGTTGCTTTTTCTTTATTGAGCCAATTCATTGTTAAGGAACAATTTGACAGTGATTGAACCCGTTGTGGTGTATGGCAGAGGGGCACGAATCGGCATG